AGGTATGCTTGACTTTAATCACCTATATATTTGTTAATTATGAAAGAAATTAAACTTATTTCTTTCAATAGAGTATTTATTATACTTTACAAATATGTGCAACTTAATTGGCTAACTTGTAGTACAGTAATATTATATATTAAGTGAGATCATAGTAATTTTTCGCATTACAAAAATATTCAGATATTACGCATAATTAATACTATATAAACCAAAATTTAACTTTTCATACTTAGTAGCTTTTTGTTTTATCACATGATTTAATTTTAATCTTTTCAGCATACTAAATATAATTTTTCAAAATATTACATATTTGTTTGTTCCCATTCGTCTCGCAATCTCTGTTTCAATTCTTCTTTGTTCCTCATCGGTGTTGTCCTTATTCTTCTATTTAAATCATTACATAGATTCTCTATAGCAAGGGTGGCCAACCTTTTGCATACCATACGTCAATTTTTTTCACAGATGAGTTCAGATGCGCCATACAACTCTTCAACTTTCTTACGTTCACGGTTGGGGTTGGAAAAGTAGGGATAACAGTAGGTTTTACTTCGCTTAGGGAAGGATAAGGAATAACTCAATCTCGTAATTAAATTAATTAATTTATGCGAGTTCAAAATACACACGTTTATTGAAGCTCTTGAAAAGAATAAGTAGGCGCAAGAATGCAATATGCCCCACTTGTTATCATCCAATGCGCCACAGTTTGACCACTCCTGCTCTATAGAGTTAAGATCTGGGAATTGAGGAAGAGGGTGTGAGTTTTGGACAATCGTATAATAGATATTCTTGTACGATCCTTGTTTTATGCTTCGGACTGTTATTCTGGTGGAATTTGAAGCTTTTTTCCAATACCCATATTAATTGTATTTGATACTAAATTTTTTTTTTTAAATATGTAAATAATTGTTTCGGTCCATGATGTCTTCAACAAAAACACGTTTTTCTACTCATCTGCTCGATATATATTCCCAGATCATGAAATTCCCTTCGCCATGTATGAAAGTAGCTCGCAAATTTTTCGGATTTAAAGTTTTATTTCCCTTACGCCACACCATATGCTGTCCATTCGAACCAAATATATTGAATTTAGATTCGTCAACGAAAATGACGCTGCTACGCCATGATTCTTCCTTCGAAATCACTTCTTCTGCGAAAGTTGAACGTTTCTTTTTATTTACTTCACTGATATACGATTTTTTTATTGCCACTCTCCCATTATAACCATTTTGTGTAAGCAGTCGTCGAATTGTTTATGCATTATACAGATTTCCCACTTTCTTCTCGAAATTCAGTTGTTAACGCAGAAGCATTTGATCGTGGGTTTTCTTCAATTTTTCTCTTTCATTCATTACTTTTAGCTGGCCACTTTGCGGAAGTCATTCAATTCAGTCTTTATTTTTAAATCTATTAACGATATCTGCCACCGTGCTTCTTTTAAGATTACGCATAGCAGCGATTTGCCGATACGATTTTCTTTTTTCGCGATTAAAAATTACTAAATGGCGAAGATTAAATGAAATGTTTTTACTTTTACGAGACAAAGGCTACTCTCCGAAACAAACATTTCTTAGAACTATTCGCGCATTATTTGTAAACAAATTGAAAAAGAAATTAACTGTCCAACTATTTGTGTAACGCGAAAAATTACTATGACCTCATTTAATTTATAACATTACTGTACTACAACAAATTAGGTAATTCAGTTGTACATATTTGTAAAATACAATAAATGCCGTGTTGAAAGAAATAAGTTTGAGTGAACTTCTTTCAAAATTAACTACGATATAGAGGGTTAAAATTAAGCATACTGTAGTGTCCGAATGTTTTTGTGATTCATTGTATGTTAGTATGTACATATTTCAGAGCCTGGCATCATTTATGCATATTTCAAGAGATTCATTCAGAAAAGGTGAATTCACTTCATTAGATTTTCAGACTACAGTTCCGAAAAACATCTCTCATCGATCGATGTGAAATTTTTGAGGTAATGAAGAAGAGGGAGAGAAGATCTTAAATATAAAATTTTAGCCTCGAGTATTTATTAGTTTCTGAGATATTAGTGAAAAACTTTTCTGCCTATATAGAAATAGATAATAAAGTACTCATCGTTTAGTGGTCATACTTGGTAAATTCAAATTGGAAAGATACCCTCCTACTTCTACTCCTCTGTCTGTCGGACCACTCTATAATTGCCCAATATATTTTCCAATCTGCTATGATTATTAGTTTTATTCATTACGGTTCTTTATGGATATCTCAGAAACTACAAGGGTTCCCAATTTTTTCAAGTTATTTTTTCTAATTTAAAATTTGGTAGATGTCAAAGCGAAGATATAGATTCATTAAAAAAAAATTGTCGGATTCTGACTGAAAGGATTTTTGGCAATTATAAAATAAAAGTGTAAGCGGGCACTCTCACCCCGGAAAGAACCAACCCCATTAATATCAATCTTTATTATTGAAGTAAAAATCGTTCCTGCATATTGTACAAAAAAGTACGAAATTATCGCGATTCTCTAGAACTACTGAAACACTTGTACAGGAGACTATATATTTTTTATATAAGGCATGAAACATGTCTGTGCAAAAGATGATTTAAAACGTGCATTTCTATAAAATCGGTCAATTTTATGAAAATCGGATTGACTGTCAGAATTTTGCCGTATTATTTATTAGTTGGTGACTATTGTATAATAACTTTTTGTCTCTTACGAATTACAATTTTTTTACTTTTATAAATTATTAATTCTTATTATTAAATTTGATACAAATAATTTCTCTCTTTTTATAAGGTTTTATTTCCACTATTACACTTTCTATAAAAATAAAAAGTTCATTATTAATTATGTACTGATACTAACAATGATTTGTCAATTCTTATTTATGATGTACAACCAGTAAAAGGACCACATTACTTATGAGACAACATAATAGAGAATTAGTAATGCCCCTGTCTCGTATTAATATGGAAGACTAACAATAAGTAGTAAATAATATCTTGTTTATTAGTATTGTAGAATTTATGAAAATTTTAATCTGTAAGATTTTTTTTAAAATGAAGAGCCAAATAGTAATGTTTCAAAGCATCCTCGTTTCCTCAAGATCTATAATGAACCATTTTCAAGATATAGAAATTTGTATATTTTAAATAACAATCACTTTATATTTTGTGTTAAATGTGATCATTTTTCTATAGTCTTACAAAATTAACATTATGAAATAAAGAGTAAAAAATGCTAATGATGAATATGTTTTTAAATTTAGATTTAAATATGTGATGTCAGTTTTATATATCACAATATAACAAATACAATAATAAATATGTATATTAAATAAATAAATATTGACAATTTGTGTTTCCGCCCTTTGCTTTTATTATAGCATTCACTCTTTCTGGCGTATAGTGCATACATTTAGTAATCATGTTTTGGATTTTGGGATGGTTGTTCCATACTTCAACAATTTTTTCTGTTAATTTTTTTTTAGTCACTGTAGTGATAGCTGATGCATATACAAGAGTTTTCAGTAAACTTCAGACATTTTTCATGGGATTCGTGTCTAGAGAATATAAACAAAAATTTTACTGCTCGGACAATAAACTCTCAATAATAGAACATTATGTATGCATCTTTAAAATCAAAACCAATACCAATTACATTTTACCTTTTACTTTCACGATTACCGCGGAAAACTACGAATGGCCCGAATTTGTTTACCCGGGTGTGTACTATGTTCACATAAGATGATGACTTGCAAACGAGAAAAATGAATTTCTATAATTTTGAAAAAAATGTGTCAAACAGAAGTTCCTTAGCACTCAATA